AAGTGGACGATTTTCAGGACCAGTAGCATAAGGACTCTAAGGTACAGGTATACACCCTGGCACTTGTGTGGTTGTAGAGGGCTGTACATTCACAGTCCACACTTCTGTTAAAGGCTGGCAATTGGCAACCGATTGTTGTTCGAAGCATTGTGTCCAACGGTCGAAACATTCCTCTTTGCTGGATATCAGAGTCATTATCACCCTTAATAGTTTCACTGTCAACAGGCCACCCGGGGCCTGTCGAACGAAGCAATGGGACAACTTGCGGAGGCTTCCAGCATTTTCCGCCTTTTCCAGCCTTCTAGATTCACCAGACTTCACAGTCTGTTTTCGTGGCGTCCGGCAATGCGCCCAGTAGGGTTAGGTGGCAATCAGACGAAATCTATCACCCAGCTTCCAGCAAAGCCATGGTCCTATCAGAGGGTTGATTTTGCAACAGACCGACTGCGTATTGGGCAGCGCTTTGGATATCTCGCTCCAGTTATAGGTAAAAACTAACATCGGGTTGGAGAAGCAGCTGCTCATACACGTGTTTGATTTCGTGGTCAGTGAGCTTGTCAGTGGCCACGCGGTGTTTCGTGCAAACCTGAAAACCGCAAAAAACGGAAACGGACAAACGCGGGATTGGACTCAGGTATTTCGCGGCGACACAGTAATTGATCTACACCCCCGGCAACTGATGACAAATTGCTCTATTTGAATTCAGGTCCCGTTCGTTCGCGGGCATCACGTAGCCTCGAGTTCCAAATTGGTTGATGATTAAGACAAGAATTTACTGTTCAGAGGGACCGTGGTTTGAACCCGACCCCGGCATCTCCACCGCTTCCCTCTAGGCGAAGGTAATCTGGTTTCCTTCGGGTGGCATAGCAGCTAGACACTGAAGAGGTTTTACAGGACGATTGGTCATTATTACAAGGTAGTCAAAGGACTTCCGCTGTTTCGCAAATTGGCAATACAGAGGAATTGTCTGTGATCGGCACACATGAAGCAGGCGCTTTCCGCTACCCGTGCGTCTCGTGCCAAACCCAAGATGACCACCCAAAGAAACCTCAGCAGCAGAGCGTTCATGCCACCAGCAACCAAAAATATGTCTGCGCTTTTAGCCCAGTGTAGAAGTGCACCTAGAGCGTCACAGAAACGGTTCTTGGTAGATTGAGAGCTAAAATCAGTCGGAACGTAAGCAGACACAATAAGTGTCTTTCACAGAATTTGGCAAAGGTATCGCACAGAAACGAATATAGTAGAGACGACCTCGTTCAATGGCTCAACACAGTGCCGATCCCGGGCTTATCCAACTACAGTGACCTCCGCATTACCAGAGTGTGCACCCGGAACCTGTAATGGGTCAGTTCAATCACAGCTCTTACGTCCAGCGTCCTCGTTCCTGGCAAACAATATAGACAAATGCAGAGGGAATCCAGCAAGAGCCATTTGCTTCATTGTGAAAACATCGAAAGCAGTCAAGCAGACCGGCTTTCGAGGCTTGAAAGCTGACTTCGTAGTGTTTAGGGTTGTTACTTAAGATGGACGTGGAAAAGCCGCAGCTGACCGTAGTTCAAAGCAAACAATGTGGTCAGTCCCAGTGTTGGGGCCTATAGAGAGCGATTACGCATGTTGGATAGAGGTAGGGTAGAGTGAGGATTACGTGGGAATACAGGAGGATGTGATCGTCCTTCAAATTACACCACAACATTCGATCCGGTAGGGTCAACAAGTGCGTTCGCAAAAATGTCTGGTGGATGTATTGTGTCACATTGTATGTATCATATTGTATTGTACTGCATAAATCCGCATTCAAAACAGTTGCAATGCCAATGAGGAAGTGTATGACAAGAAGTCTTCCAAAACCAACAACAAAACGTCTCGAAATGTCGGGGCGACGTGCCATTTCAAAACCAGGTCATCATCATCAGCGTTAAAAGCCCGTACTTGCCGTACACTGCTTATAGCCGCCCCGGTTTCGTTCGCCGATGATTTGAGGAGGTGGGGTAAACAGCTACGCATCGGAGGCCGTAGCTAATATAACTGATGCCTAAATACACATGTCTGGACTTTTCATCACGGAGGCCGGGAATGAAATCATACATGGAAGACAACAGCTTAGATGCACGAGCACCATCGGGAACGCAATTGGGCCATGTCTGGCAGTAATTCTAACAACTGATGTGTCCCGTCTTAGGGAAGAGTAGACAAACAGCGCGCTGGAGCTTGAGGAAATGGCTTCTCGAGGAAGCCGGCCAACTGACATGCGGAACACGTGATCAAGTCAGTGCAGTGTGGTAAGTTCATCTATCATGTGCGAGTTATTTCTACCGAGACCTAGTCGGCGTATCTCAACATTACCAATCTGATAGCTGATAGTCAAATAAACAAACGCCTGCTTACGTGGTGGGAAGTGTTTTGGAGTACATCGGTGGACAAAGAATGGTGCGAGCAAAGGACAATTCCCGGTTGTTCACCAGGCAGTGAGATGTACGGTTGTGCACGGGGACCCTGTACCTAGCATCTGAACTCGAAGTCTGACCCGCGAGTCAGCGGCTGTTAGTCTTCTTTGGGGACCCTGTCCGGAGCTGATGACTCAATCGTCTGACCTGCTCGGTTGCAGGGAGTTGGCCTAACCCGATGGTACAGGGAGCAGCACCGGACTCTGGTCTTGAAAGTATTTCGACCGCATTGAATAATGCGCCGGTGATCACGGTCAATCGTTGGGCGATCGGATTGTGTGGTTTCGAGGGCCGACATTGTCTGAATCATCCTTCCTCGGGGGAAGGGAGCATCGCTAATTCCGTGAATGTGGACATGCCGGTCACCTGGGGGAAACAACTTACTGCCCTCACACTCCCATCGTAGAGGACAGTACCCCCAGACCGCCTCGTATTACAATTACTCGTAGTACGGAGTCTCTGTTCTTGGTCTGACCGCTCACCTTTGACCTTCCTGGAATGGTTGTACCTTGCAGATTGAAGTTCCTGTCAGTGTGGCCCGCGGGCTCATTGTAGCACTCAAGCCCGATCACCACCTCAAGATGGCAGATTTAGGTCGGGAAAAAAACCGGCTAAAATACTTTCTTTCGGATTCATATTCGCATCAGCTTGGTTATTTGTATTAGTTCTGTGTTGCTTATTTTCCTTGCACGTTTCTGGTGGACAGCTGGGAATCGAAGCCAGATGTCAGTTAGCTATGCCCTAGAGAAACAATCACACCATACACATACTGCCCAGTGTATCATCGTAAGTGTCTCGTCGTTCAGCTGTAACACCCTTCCGGTGCCTAGCTGCCATGCTACCCAAAGAAAGCACGACGGCTGGATACTGCCAGGTTACCCAAGCCTAGACAGGGGAATCTATCGACATAAAACCACCGATGTTCCCACTTTTGCGCCACTTCTCTTCGTTTTGACACGTAAGGAGGACCCAATTGGAAAACGGCTGAGACCTGTGCACATTAGCCCTCCAAGGCCTGCAGACATTCGTTACTCCCGGTATTGTCGCCGGTGCAGATATGTATGCAGATATGTATATGCAGATATATAGGCAAACATTGCATCACGTCCAACTTCCAGGCGGATATGCAGCGCCTATGGGGCTATTTCGTGAGACACTCAAAATAGGTTGCACACATAAGCTGGACAGTAGGCTGTATGTTTCTCCTCTTCAAGGTGTTACTTTTTAGTCGACTTTCCCCATCGCGCCCACTCAATCCGCGTGATTTTTTCGTAATCGGTCCACACGTACCTGTGGCCCCCATCCAATTCGCGCTTTTTTGTACGTGGGTTACCCCTGTTGATAAGTGCTGCACCGTCGACCTTCCGGTATTCTGCTAATGGATCACCCGTGGCACTAAATTTGAACTTCCCTTATTTGCTCTTTCGGCTAGGCATGTTTATGACCAACCAAAAAAGTGATTTCGGTTAGAGGCAGACAAAGTACGTTCGGAGGGCCACAAAATAATTGTCACTTGCGGTTGCTGGTTTTGTGACGGTACCAACATGGAACACCTCCGAACGTTGTACCAACCATGTAGGACAAGTATGCTCAACGGTGTTGGAAGTGTTGATAAACAGCACTTATTGACGTAATACAAGGGGACCAACCTGTCTGAGCTCCTTCGCAGCATTTGCTTAGATGTTAACATATGATAAACAGCACTTATTGACGTAATACAATACAACCTGTCTGAGCTCCTCCGCAGCATTTCCTTAGATGTTACCATTCGTGTAGTCACAAGACTTCACGTGCGCGAAAGCATTCCTCCCTCATCACATGGGGTTTGGCTAGTTCTAGATCACCGAAGATTCAAACTGCGTTGAACACAAATTACACGGTCCCACTCAACTATCTTTTTAATTTGACAGGCTTCCAATACAATACATGGGTCTAGTGTCCCCTGTGCTGTCCAAGAGTCCCATCATCTATCATCTGACGGCGGGAAGGACTGAAGATTGTGCCCTATTTTACGAATTTTTCCGGTAGACAGGGTCAGGTGTTTTGAGGAAACACCATTAGTAGCAAGAAAAACCTCAAGAAATAAGCTAACGTAACAACCAAAGATAGCATGAAGGGAACACTGAGCTGCCTAACCCCTACAAAATAATGACATGCTTTTTGTTATCGCGCAACTGCCGTGAAATTTGAGCGAAGGTCCCATCAAAGTCACTGACCAAACTGACGGAATAAGGCCAAGAAATCATCGCAAGACCACGTGACTGCCGTTCCCAAGGTCGTTTGATCGGCCACTTCCGATTGGGTTCGCGAAGTATGTGCCTTCATCGCCAACGAAAAATAAACATGTGGCTGCACCGTTATAGCAGTGGAGACTTAGTCTCACGGGAAAAATGCTGAGCATAGATGTCCGAGAACGACCACTACGAAAGCCTTGAACAATACCTAGCCCATTGATCGACCGCAGCCCCGATAACAGTCATCACCAACCCTTTAGCAGATCACTTATTAGGAGAAAGGTCAAAAAAAGTGGAAAAGGGGAACGTGACGCATACTTACAGCATTTCCGTACGCCTGCAACGACCATAACAGATTTCGCAACAGCGCCCAGTGAGCGACAGCCACCTCACGCGCGCTAACGCAGATGACCGAGGTCAGTAGCCAGCCGCCCGAACTCACTGTGATGGCGTCCGCCCACGCGCGTGCTTAGCCTGTTCTGGTCCAGATCAAACCACATAACTGTGGCACGGCTCACAGGGGTGAGAGAGTGCAGCACTGTGATAGGCTCGATGGCGTCGGCATTGGTAACGCGATCTGCATCGAGCTCTGATTGGTCCAGCTTCAGGCGAGGCCTAATCATCTCGAGCAAAATCGGCTGCTGTCTGGTCCGTTTGTCCAGCCCTGATTGCAGACGGACAGCACTGTTGTCTAGCCACCACACGAATGGAAAAGTTGTGCAGACTGTCAGCGGCGGCTTTCGCAGTGCCCAGCGTAATCTTGAGGTCCTGTCCGAGGGAGCACCGGTCGTGAACATACGGCAACGACGAAGCAACGCACATGGTCTAATGCGGTGACTTCTTAGCCGGTCCTCCTGGATGAACGCGATTTGGCTACGCGAGGTCATCGCAAAGAGCCCCAGACGGTGGACATAGCTCCAAAGTGGTCTTAACGTGCCGCACAGGAAATTCGTGCGACCACATTATTCTGCAGGCATAAACTCCATGGATTTAATTTTTTAAATTTGAAATCTTGAAAATGACTGAATGTAGTAGGCTCCTGAATTTTAACCTCAAAACCTCTCATACCCTGTTTCGGTGGCATACAACCTCAGAAATTGTCCTCGTTTGCGCAGACTTGAAAGCAAAATTGGACAAAATTAGCGTATCTGAGCCTATCAGGACGTATGCTTTGAAATTCTGTCGAACATAGATGGGACTGGTCCGTGAAAACCAAGCTGGGTCCTATCCTACAAGACGATGCATCAATCACATTTTCACCCTCCGACAGATTCTGGAACAGTAACAATGCATCCAGCGCCAAAGAATAGCTGTCTTCCTTGACTCGAAAGCTGTCTTTGACTCTGTGGACCGTCAGGCACTATGCCAGTAGGTATGGAACAAAGATAACCTCGTAAATTGTTGGCATCTTTTCTAGATAAGCCCCGCCAAAAAATTAACCCCTACGACCCAAGAAAAGCTTAGAAAAAAGAGGGTATGAAATCTGTACATTTAATTTTTCATCGAAGAGGGTGAAATTGGGACATTTCATTAATAATTTGCATGAAAAGATCCGTTTTTGGTACCTTTGTCTCCAAGAGAACTCACACAAGTAGCTGTCCACTAAAGGTCGGTGTGTGCCGCATTGGCGTTTATCCTGCATCTTGCAGACACGCCAAAGAGTTTCGATGATCGTGTGTGAGCTCCAGTCGTTGGATCCACAAAGTTTTCGGTATGATTAGCCGTTACATGAGTATAATTCATGTCAATCATTGTTTCAATTCCTTGGTACGATGTCCACATATCGGAGATGATGATTGAGCCGGGAGCAATGCAGGCCTGGATTGTGTCCATCAAAGTGGCCACAGTTCGATCTGGCACTGCATAACACCTCTTTAGTTTCCCGGCAGATCTCTCCGAGAATCCACTTCTGGGGAAGTACTCACCCTGCGTGCTTCTTATGGCGAGATATTAGCGTTCCACCGATATCGACGTGTATATCTGGGCTGCCGGTAACTGTTGGAGTCTGCAAAAGCCGCCAGGCGCAAACTTCGCGAAGAAAGTTCTTCCAGTCAACAGCGGTCGTGTGGCTAATAGATAATTCCTCTGAGCTGAATTCGATTTTCGCCAAATTTTTGGACCAGAAATAAGTGAATGGAATTACTGTCCTAAACTCCATCCTGGACCGCCCCAGCCGTTCCCTTTCGAAGACCGATTTCCCGCAGACACTGTCGGGCATTACACCCCATCTGTCAGAAACAGTTGAAAGTGTCATTTGGTGGCAACTGTTGCATGAAGGTTGCTGATGGCTCACTCCGTGGCTTTGCAAAAAACGTATTGCCGTCTCCTTGTCATGAACGAGAGTTGAAAGCGTCAGAAAGTTCATTTAAGGTTTTACGTCCGAACGGAGAAAATTTTTGCACAAAATGAGTCTAGATGCGGATGAGGAAACTAGGTCAAGGTTGTGTGCGTACATTGAATTGGTGCCGGAAAAAAGTGGCGGGGCTTAACTTTTCGCACATACACTTTTTGCATTAGTGGTGGGGCTAATCTCGAAAGGATCCAATTCTTGACCTTCCATAAAGTGCTGTACACGAACTCTCGTGGATTAATTTGGGTCAACTGGAAGCTCTCGCCTCAGTTCACTACATCAAGTGGAGTCAAGCAAGCCTGTACTCTTTCAACATTCCTCTCCAAATTCATCATTAACATTAATACCGAAAACTCATTAACAGCCTCAAATGCTTGTGGGGTCGAAGTGCTCCTAGGGCCTTCGCTCATGGATACCGTGTACACAGTCTACAGAACTCTTCTTTCATGTGACGTTACTGTAATGCAGCAACAATAAAAATCCAAACAATTCTGCCTCATGGTTTGGAAAGTGCTTCACACATGCTGCCGCAAAACTGAGGGAGCTCCAAACTTGACCCATGCCTGCGGATGTGCTGATTGACGTAATAGACAAACATGTCTACCTTTGCAGCTGTTTCCGTCCCAGTTGCCTGGCCAAAGGTGAAATTTCCATCCAGAATGGGAAGGCCAGAGGAGCTTTCATGAAGAAGCATCGCATGTGGCGTAGCTGGAACACCAGCATATCCATCAAAGACCAAGTTTAGATTGTTGCGGTACGCTCCGTATTATCGTACAGGGTAGAGAACTGGTCTCTGGGCGCAGCGCGTCAAAAAACGTTCGGCGTTTGACCATCCAAGTTATCAGAGTATTACATGATACTGCTGGGACCAACGGATTAGTAATGCAGAAGTACGTTCTCGGAAGAAATAACTCGCACACGATAGATGGACTTACCACATTGCGCTGACTTGGTCACGTGCTCCCCATGTCATTTGGCCGACTTCCTCGAAAAGCCATTTTCTCAAGCTCCAGCGCGCTGTTTGTCTCATCTTCCCTGAGACGGGACACATCAATGGTTAAGAAATTATTGTCAGACATGGCCCAGTTGCGTCTCGATGGTGCCTCGTGCATCCAAGCTGTTGTCTTCAACGTATAGCTTCCCTCCCGGCATCAAATTTGGCTTCATTGCACAGCTAACCATTTCCTGCGTCGAAACATCGAAATTCTTCTGATTTCAACCAGGATCCTGTTAAACAGTAAATCGACCTCATTGAAATGGACTTCTTGCTTCAGAACATCAAGACCACGAACTGGTCCGTTCACAATCTGGATTTGACCCCGATCGAAAACTTCCAGGGAACACCAGCGAATCCACTTGTGGTGAATTTGGGCAGTGCGTGTACCAAAGTCTACTGTCCTTCGGTAACGGCAAAGATTTGAATTTAAAGTTAAAATAACTAAAGTATCAGATGTAATAAAACTTGTACAAAATTCAGTCAAGGACGAGCTGGAAAGATGGGTTTTTTAGTTGTTGAATTTGTTCTACTCATCAATCCAGAATGATCCTGTTTACATTTCGCACAACTATTGCAGATCACTCGCGATCATCTAAGTTAAATGGGTTCTAGGCCAGACCAATATATGCGTTTAGTACAGCATTGCGTTCACAACAAGTCAAATTTTACCGGCGCAAGTTTCAATGTGTTCGTTAGACTGACCAAGCGAGTGTTTCGAATATTAGTTCTTTAACTATATATTTCTTAACAGATCTGACTTCGAAGAAAATTTGTCTTCTGGCTTTTCGTATGCAGTCCCAAAAGCTTATTCATCGGAGGACTTCGACACTGATGTGAGCGAGGCAAACCGCACAGACTACCACCCCGAACCGCTGTTTATACAGATGAACAGCTGCATCAGATCATATTCACCCTCACCCAGTTAAGACTGCAGACAAGCAGACGGCCTTTTGATGACTGTTGTTCACAAGTGTCGTTTCATACTTGCGTCCGATACTGTAATCATCAATGTAAACCTAAGAGAAAATTGGGATTTCGTACAATTTGGTTTCAAATAAAACATAAGGTTGACGGAAACTCGGGGACCGCGTCTACCTGATGAGCCCCAAGAACGGCGAAACCGGTCGAGGAGTTTTCAGCAACCTTATGAGTAGTGCATTACAAAAACCGGGACCCATTTAAAACAAACAACCTACCATTTATTTTAACTGATGGACAGAAAACTAGTGTCCCGCTGCGATTTTGGAATGGATCATTCAATTTTCTCTTCACGTAATTTCCTGTGATTCAGTTACCGGGTTTTTTAAAAAAAGCCTGGGATTGTGCCAATATTTTGCGTTTATTAAGGAGCTAACCTTTTTACAATCACCGACCAGGTGGCCACACCTAATTGCGGTCTAATGGGTACCTTCCGAAGACGTTTTAAAAAGCTCATTTGCAGACTTTTTAGAACCACCAATTTATCGAATGTATGATGGTAAATCCACTCCTGGGCACGGACAATATGACGGTCAGTTCTGGTTAGGGCTCCGATGAAAATACGGCTGTTCTCCCTAATTAGACGCAGCAGAATGGTAGTACAGGAGGGGGAAGGGGATGGCTGTCCTAAATTTAACCTGGCGGATAATAGTGCACTGTTACCTCCAGCTGGAAAGAGAGCAACATGCACTTAAGACGCATTTGTTACAGTCAATCTTGTCAAAAGCAAGGGCGTCTGAGCGTCTGTTCGTCTGGCCAACAAGTGAAAGTCAACTGTTCAACCATTACAGAAGTCAAAACAACAGCTTAATGCAATCTTTAGTTGGAATAATTTCAATAAATCTGAATAGATTCATCGAACTTCAATGGGCTTCCTTTGAATCATAATGTCAGAACAAAACACAAAAGGGTTTTCAGCAACCTTGTGAATAGTTTCCTTTATGAATACAGATTAGGTAGCTTGTTCACCTTCAGTCCAACGACCTCTGCTAGGATTCCCTCGTCTGAGAGTGCTCGTGGCTCCCGATTTCTGTTTCGCGATTGATTTTCATGTATAGTTAGATGTTGATATCGCTGGATTCGAAACCCGTGTAACGGAATTTGTCTTTTCAATCGCATCGTGCATACCAGCATTCCTAGTAAAGTTTCAAAACGTGGATGCTCAAAGAGGTGGCTTGACTGCCTCTGTGAAGAGCTTAGTCTCCTCAGGCACACGAATGAATTTCGGCCCACCTAATCTTGCTACAACCCACTAATGCAGTGATGCGCGTACGGGCAAAAACGATATGGACTCTTCAGTTCGTGAAGTAGCAATGACTGGCTGAATAGATGTATTCAAAGCCCATGGACCGTAAAAGTGCGCTGAGCTGTTGTTACACATTGTTACGTCGGAAACTCCAGGCAGTGGTACTCAACCTACTTCGTAGTATGCTTTTTGAGTCCTTCTCTACCGAATTTCCCTGATCGAAGTATGATCAAATTAATCCGACAACTTTGCGTAAGTTGTGAATAGCAAATGAATCACTGTTATTACTTTTCACACGTGGAACCTAGAAAAACGACTCACTTTTTTCTGGCAGAACACACTACTAGTAGATTACTGAAGATTGTTCGACATCCCTTGACTGGTCCCGCCATTCTTGAGGTCCATCATCAGCCTCGAGTTACCGGTAATTCTATGGTATAGATGAGCAATCAGTGAAGCGCACTCATTTGGGAATTAAGTTGCCTCTAACAAGAAATCCAACTGATTTCCAGCCTGGTCTCTCGGTTATGATATTTTTCAGCTGAACGCGCTGCACAAAGGACTTCAACGGAGACTCTATCGTTAACCCAATGTTGAAAGAGCTATCAGTCAAGGAGAATTTACGGTAGTTTTCCGCCTAATTCCAGGAATCGCGGGAAGTGACTCGAAACGGCTTCATGCATGTCCTTTTCAGCTTCAAACCAATGGCGTTTCTTCATCCACCTAGAAAAGTAAGTCGCTGCAAAAATAAGAAATGTCCAACTGACTGTTGTCGCTACGTTATGAAAAAGACTACACGTCAGTGGCCGAGATTTACTATTTAATCATTCAAAACTGAAGTTTCCTAAGAAAGCATATTGGTATGAGTTAGACTCAAAGCGGGGTAAAAATGATGTGGGAGCTAGAATTGTTTAACAGCTCCGTAAAGTGCGGGATTACACCGATTGATTCCGAACGGGTTGAAACATGTCCCACAGCATTACACATCCTCTCTGACGCAAACGTGAATATCATATGAATCCAGGTCGTCATTAAACATTGGATAAACCATCGTGTTGCTCAAGCCTGAACAAGTTCATCAGGAACACAGGAAGATTGGATGATGACTGACCAAACCAGAATGAACTCAAATTCCACAAATCCCGAAACCTCCAATAAAGCCAATAAGGCCAAATCTTGGACGATGTTGAGGACTACATCCGGGTGATTCGAAAATCAAATGAATTAGATCACAACGTCCAAATGAACCTGACTACATCATGTTAACCAGTTGACGGGGCACATGCATCTCTTTAAATGCTAAGGCAGAAGGACATTGATTCCGAAGTCACTTGCATTGGCTTATTCGCGCCACCCTGAACAACTGATCTTTAGGAGGTCTGTCTGATTCTGAAAAACCGCTTGGAGTCACAATATTCCAAGAACCATATTTTTTTTGTAGTTTCCTCCCCGGAGGTTGACCCTGATGAGCAACATCGACGCCTGGCCAATGTGAACCACACCAACACTAGTGTGGTCATCGAGACAGTGGAATTTGTAAACTGAGGAGACTGTCACAAACCTGCAAGAGGGCAGTCAAACACTCCAAGACTCCTCATCCCAAGCAAATGTATAGAACGGAAAATGCACTTGTAGTTATTATGTCTTCCTGTGAGGGCTAAGGTTTCAGGATATCAATATCAGGTTGGTCTGAAGGACTTGTTACTCCACCTCTAGAAAAATGCCATTCTCCCTATTTTGACCTATTTTTCATAATACTAGTGTTTACGCTCCATCGTTTCTAGGGCTACAAACTAAACAGTAGGTCCGTTATAGGGTTTGCCACGAAATCGAATTCACTATATAGGCAGTCTCAGTTATCGGTCGATGCTACTATTACCATAATGAGCTGCATTCCAGCAGTTTACAACCAGAAAGGGTCTCACTCTCTCCGTGCCCCCATCCCCAAAACCCCCTGGTACTCTTCACCAGAGTATGCAACACACAGGCAGCCTCAAGATTACTTTGTAACCCAAAACAACGGGGAACAGGCAGAAGGTTGTCCGATATTCCCATACTACTTGCACCCAAGGATTCATACGTGTCCCTTTTCATGGGTTTGCCAAAATTGGAATAAGAAACAATACTGTCACGTTATTCCAAATCTAGGAGCGGCTGTCCGCATATTCGGACGGAATGCATACAAAACTTGGTTGACCAACTAGAAGTGATTAAGGCACTAGGTATGCGTAGGCCAGACAGTTCGACTAGAACTGACCAGTTGACCGTCACGCGCACAGAAATTCGGCCAATATCCAAGCTGATTGTGAGTTCACCACCAACACGCCTCAGCTATGTGGTCCGAGGTAGCTACCAGTACCAGTACCCGTATGGTTGCATTTCAGCACTGCCAGCACACCCATCACAACAACAACTACACTCAATGTGAGCTGTATGGTTGTGTGAATCAGACAAATGCTGGCCTTGTCACGTGCCGAATGAAGCCCACCCTGAAGCACAGATGATGGTATAGGTCGAAAGGAATGTGCAAGACACTGTGATGGTTAGACAACATAGGTGCAACATACACACAGAAAGACAAAGAAAAGTGCAGCTCACTGGCAGAACCACGGGCCAAGAGCTACGAGGTGACCCAAAAAAAATTGTTTGGTTCGTGTTGTAGAGCTCTCACCCGACACACACGGAGATGCTGTCACATAAATTTCTGCGCTGGCTTAGGATGTTCTATTGAAGCTTGTCTGCTAGGTCGTAGCTCAATCGAGAGTTGTCTCAGAACTCATATGTCACTTGCTGGACACCGTTTAGCCATATCACTGTCACTGATTTTCAGTGACAATTCATTAACTCTTTCAACAAGTGAAACTTTAATCGGATGGAACACAGCTCGTACGGTCTGACAGCACTATTGCTCTAAAAGCCTTAGAAGAGGCTCATGATCTGATGCCCTTCCATAAACCAATCTCTACCACCAAAAAGGCATAATTATACATTTATAGACTGTACACCAGGACGAGTAACTGGAAGGAAAGTTCTACTAACTGTCATAACCTGCTGAAGCAGAGGTCACGGAAGCGTGGTTAGAAGTAGTTAAAGACTGGATTTTATCAAAAGACATACCCATAAAGTAGCCATATCTATTCGTCCCAATGGTGTCATTCAAGGCTGTAGGGAGTATAATGCCTCAAATAATTCTTCTAGGGAAGACTACCTTCCAGCAAAAGTGCTGTTCGATTCATCTCGTTATGTACACTATCGATTCAAACGGATTAGTTACATTTTTCGGCGAGTTCAACACCGAAACTGTAAAGGTGCATTATTAAAACCAAACACCTAGACATTTTGAAAGGTAACACCAATTTGATCATCCAGATAAGAAATTCTGTATACATGCATCACCATTTAAATTATATTAACTAATGACCAACAAATGGGCGCATACTTTGATTCACAACGTTGCACAAATCCAAAAGTTATTTGGTTCAACCTTCAGTTTAGATTTGCTTGGACAGAATAACCTATTAATTTTGATTAGCGACGATAAAAAAGAAAACTATTGCAGTGAAATACACTCATTTGCATACCAATTTGGTTTTTTCGGGAGATTCAGCTGGGTTCCAGGTGAATCTCCCGTTTATGATGTTTTAAGCAACCGAGATTCATCTGGGTTCCAGGTGAGTCTCCCGTTAAAACCGAATCGGTATGCAAATGAGTGTATTTTGCTAATTTCGTGCAAATTGGGTGCGTGTCATGTAAACTATTACAGCAAATCTGTTGATTAATGTAGTGTTCACCATGAATCTGTTCGAAGTAAGCCTACCCACCGTCGGGTCAGATTCTGTAGCTAATTTTGTACTAGGTGTGAAATACATGAAGGGTTCACTAGATCCCGGATAGCTCGGTGACCTAGAAGCCTCGAAAACTATCGGTACTTCGCGTTTCCTGTTCATGCATTAGTTGGTATGTTTTATGACACGAACCACACAATGCTAAATCGTCAAAAGCGTCATACACCCACGCCAGACCAGATGCTGAAAGATGGTTTTTTTGGCTTCGTGTAATCACACTTGCTGTTAAGTATTGGTGACTCCTTCTTCGCCTTCCATAGTGAGGTTCATCTGCAGTTTTACTATCGTTCAGTCGAATGTCGGAGAGTTTGACTTTCTGTGCAAATATTCAAAAATCACTTTCTTCATGATCGCACTCTGTTTATGGAAAATCGCCTTTTGTTTGCGCCGCTGCTGTTGACGTCATGTGGATTTAGTCATGGATTTAACCATCCCCGACACCACTGCTGTGAACTGATTTGTTTCAGTGAGAAGGGGAAAAGGCTAGTTGTTTTGCGACAGGAAACATGGAAGCTCAATGTGAGCAGAGTTATCTCAACCCAATGAGCTAATATCAGTCGACCAAGAAAGGAATTATCTAATCGATACAAAACACGGATCAATAACTACCACATTAAAAGGAATGATCGATGCGCACGCACGCATCTGGCCGACGGAGTTCGTATGCGAAGACAGAGATCACCCGGTCTGCTTTCTTTCCATATGACTTATAGAGTGGGGCTTAGGGTAGGACTAAGTTTGCTTTAAGGCATAGCTGCAAAGCCTGCGGGTTTCCCTCCAGATTATAAAAAATGGAGAGGTTTTCAGTGTTACACTCCGGTGCACAACCTCAATGCTGAAAACATTTTCTGACACAGTTTGTTTTATCATGTACAGTGTTAAGACGACCACAGCGATTTACGGAATTACCGTATTTTGTGCTGTTTGTTTATCAGCAGGCTTCATTTGGCAATTAGACATTTGTGGAAAATATCACCAAGTTTTTTTAAGACGGTGTGTGTTCTATGAGTACTGCTATTTCACAGTTGTCGTATTTTGATGCAAATCCATACGCCTTAAACGATCCATTTGGGTACATTTCCGTAGTTGAAGATTAGTTGATATCCTGATCAGATGGACATCTCAGGCTGTACCAAATCAACCAAAGAGCAGAAAAACCAACCTAATCTATCCAATGGCAGAAAAAAGGGTTAACCTCAACAGTTCAAAAGACACGTCTTGCTCTATGGATATTCCTAGATGCACACAGTGTGAAGCCTGCTTTCAAGATGTACATCCTCCACCCAACAAGGTATATGTTCTGATCTTTCTTTAGTACGATGAATACCATCAAAAAAGTTACTTTATTTCAACAGATGCACTCATTTGAATACAAATTTGGTTCTCATGGGAGGCTCAACTGTATCTTGATACTCTTTATTTATTTCACTTTTCGCCAATGGGGTATCGGTGTACACTTTTCGCCTCAATTCGACACTCGGCGCGTGTTCAGTCGGGGCAGAACGACAGATAATAAAGCCACTGCTTCTATCCAACATGAGTTTTTTTGGCAGGAAGCCTGTCGTTTTTGCTTTTGTTCCGTTCTAATTCGCGTCCTTCTAATGCCCGATCTTAACCGGGTTCCCGCCAAACAAGCCAGAAGGTTTTTTTCTAATTCTCGTAAGCTCACCCGTTTGTTCCTATGCTATTATCATTTACTTTTGAAGAGCATGGTCACAAACATAAAAGTGAGTGCAAGCGATGAATGCGAAAGAGTAACAGGAGAATATGGGAGAAAAGAGAGAAACGTGTCATTCGAGATCATGCCAAGGGCAGTGCCAGTCTGATGAGGTGAATCCCAAAGTATGTAAAGATTTTGGTATGGGAACACGCGTCTAAGGACCAAC